AGACTAAGGATCCCTGGTGTGACAATGTAGAATAAGTAGTGGACTGCTAACCTAACCCAAGGTCAGCGGTTCAAACTCAGCTGCTCCTTGGAAACTCCATACAGAGTCACTGTGAGTTGGAATTAACCCCATAGTACTTAAACAACACCAAAGAGGCTAAGATACTACTAAGTGTTTACTAACATAATTTGTCTGCTATCCACTGATCACAGAGACAATTTTAAGCAAGTTTTGTTAGAAATAAGCTTATATATCTATGAATTGAACCCATTAGCAATACTTTTGTCTTACCCTTGTGTGTGTGTGTGTTTATATTCTCTCTATTTTACACTTTTATTACAAATAGATAGCAAATATCATCAGATAAGTTTTTTGCCACTCATCAAAAATCTTGTATGGATTTCTCCTTTAGTCTTGTGTTTGTCACTATGGGTTAATGCGCTAAACTGCAAAGTCAGTTTGAAACACAAGGTCAGTGATTCAAGCTTACCAGCAACTCCTTGGAAACCCTATACAGGGTTGCTGTGGGTCAGAACCAATGCAACGGCATTTAACAACAACAACAACAGGATACATGTTACATTATTCTTTTAATATACTTCTAGGTTTGTTTTGCTAGTATTTTATTTAGGATTTTGTATCTATAATTTTACATGGTTCCTTGTAGTACTCTAGTTGGAATTCAGGCTGTGCTGGCTTTTACTAAATGATTTGAGAAAATCCCCTCTTGTTTTATGTTCTGGGTTAGTTTATATATTTATTACTTAAAATTTTGGAAGATTTAATCCAGAAAACTATTTGAACCTGAACAGTTTATTGATATAATTCACATATCATATTACCCACCCATTTAGAGTATACAATTCCATGACTTTTAGTATCGTCATAGAGTTTTGTAACCATTGTCATAATCAGTTTTAGAACATTTTCATTATCCAAAGGAAAATCCCTAATTCTTTAGCTTTCCCTCCCCAAATTTCCCTTTCTTCCTCCAGCAATACTTTGCAACCATTAATCAATTTTCTATCTCTATAGATTTGTCTGTTTTGCTATTTCATGTAAATGGAATTAAATATACATTTTGTGTCTATTTTCTTTCATTTAGCATAATGATTTCAAGGTTCCATGTTGTAGCATGTCTCAGCATTTCATTTCTTTTTATTTCTATATAGTATTTCATTGTATGAATGTATCATATTTTATTTTTCCATTAATCAGTTTATATATATTTAGGTTATTTATATTTTTTGACTTTTGAAAATAATGGTGCTATGAACATTCATATACAAGTTTTTGTTTGAGGGTCTGTTTTTGTTTCTCTTAGGTATATTGCTAGTAGTGGAATTACTAGGTTATATAATAACTTTCTGCTTAGCCTTATAATTGAAAGACTATTTTTCAAAGTTGTGCACCATTTTACATTTCCACCAGCAATGTATGTGAGTTTCAATTACTCCAGATTCTTAGTAACACTCATGTTCTATTTGATTGTAGCTATCCTAGTGGGTATGAAGTAGTATCTCATTATGGTTTTGATTTATATTCCTTGAGGGCTAATGATGTTGAACATCTTTTTATGTGCTTATTGGTTATTTGCATATCTTCTTTGGAGAAATGTCTATAGCTAATCTGGTTATGAACGAGACCTGTTCCTGTGACTTTGTCTTTAAGTGAAATTTGTAGGTGATTTAAAAGCTTTAGTTGCAGCAATTGAAGGTGATTGTGACGAGTTATGATGAAGAATTTGTTGTGACTAGGATTTGGTTCAATAGTATCAAAGTGAAAGCAAACTTGCATAAAATTAAAGGGCAAATAGGAGTTATCCATCCTCAGGTGTTTGTAGCCTGGAGACTGCTACCTCTATTCAATTCCTTTGTGCATTTTTACAATTGGGTTATTTCTATTATTGAATGGCAGCATTCTCCATTTATCAGCTATATGATTTGCAAAAATAAAAGAAAAAATTCCCATTCCATCTCTTCACATAATTTATGGTGCCCTTTGAAACGAGAGTATTTTAATATTGATGAGGTCCAACTTCTCTCTTTTTTTCTTTTTGGTGTCATATTTAAGAAACCATTACCTAATTCAAGATAACAAAGATTTATACCTTTTTTTTTTCCTAAGAGTTTCATAGTTTAAACTCTTTTTAAAAGCTAAGTCTTTGATACATTTTGAGTTAATTCTTGTGTATGGTGTGAGGTAAGGGGCCAGTTTCATTCTTTTCTTGTGAATATCCAGTTACTCCAGCACCATTTGTTGAAAAAATTATTCTTTCCTCAGTGAATTGTCTTGTTACACTTGTTAAAAATTAATTGATCATAAATGCAAAGGTTTATTTTTGGATCCTCGTTATTCCTTGGTTTAGATGTCTATACATATTCCAATACCACAGCTTTTTAAACTACTATATTAAGTTTCAAAATTGGGAAGTGCAAATCTTCCAACTTTGTCCCTTTTTTTTCTAGATTATTTTGGCTATTCTGGGTCTCTTGAATTTCCAAATGAATTTTAGGACCAACTTGTCAATTTCTACCAAAAAGATTTACTAGAGTTTTTTTGTTTTTTAGGGATTGCACTGAATGTGTATAGCAGTTTGGGGAGAATAATCATCTTAACAAGGTTAAATCTTCCAAACCATGAACATGGGCTATCTTTCCCTTTAGTTAAATCTTCCTTCATTTATTTAACATGCTGAAAAGTTGTTTTCAGGATATAACTTTTACACTTATTCTTATTCCTAAGTATATAACATTTTTAATGCTGTTTGAAATGAGGTTGCTTTCTTACCTTCATTTTGGATTTGTTTATTGATCCCGTGTAAAAACATAATTTTTTATATATTGATCTTGTGTCCCATAAACTTGCTGAGCTTGTTTATGAGTTCTTAAAGTTTTTGTTTGTTTGAGAGTATATTCTTTAGAGCTCTCTATGTGTAAGATGGGAGCATGGTGGCTCTGTAGGATAAGCAGTGGGCTTCAAACCACAAGATTGGTGATTGGAACCCACCAGTTGCTCTTTGGGAGAAAAATAAGGCTTTCTGCTTCTGCAAAGATTTGCAGTCTTGGAAACCCCATACAGGGTCACCATGAGTTGAAATCTAATCGATAGCACTTAAAAACAATGTGTAAGATGCTGGTGTAGTGGTTAATGGCTCAGCTCCTAACTGGAATGTTTGCAGTTTGAATCCATTAGTCACTCTTCTGAGGGAGAACGATGTGGCAATCTGCTTCCATAAAGACTGTTGTTGTTAAGTGCCGTCAAGTTGGTTCCAGCTCACAGTGAGCCTGTATATAGCAAGGAATAGCTTGTGGGTTTGAAATGCCACAGCCCAGTGCTGATCCACAGCACCACACCAAAAGTCCATTAAGATTACAGCCTTGGAAAACTTATGAGGCTGTTCTGTTTTGTCCTACAGGATTGCTTTGAGTTGGAATCAACTCGATGTCAATGTGTTTGGGTTTTATATGTAAGATTGTGCCATCTGCAAATATAGTTTTGCTTCTTCTTTTCATTATGGATGCCATTTTTTCATTTTTTTGCCTAATTTCCCTGATTAGCACCACTAGCATAGTGTTGAGTCTAAGTGGCAAGAGCGGTTGATTTATCTTTGTCTTGTTCCTGATCTTAGCAGGAAAGCATTTAGTCTTTCATCATTAAGTATGATGTTAGCTTTTGTTTTTTTACAGATGTCTTTGATCAGATTGTGAAAGTTCCCTTGTATATATATTCCTAGTTTATGGAATGTTTTTATTATGAAGGGGTATTGAATTTTTTCAAAAGCTTTGAGGTCTATTTAGGTTATTTTATGGGTTTTGCCCTTTTTTCTATTAGTATGTTGTTGTTATTAAGTGCCATCAAGTCAGTTCCCACTCATAGCGACCCTGTACAGGGTTCCCAAGGAGCACATAGCTGGTGATTTGAACTGCCAACCTTGTGGTTAGCAGTGCTGATCCTACAGTACCACAACAGGACATATTATCTTTGCCTTTTAATTCACCCTCCCATTTTCCTATTCTTTAGTGCTCAGAGGAAACTCATTACATGATGTATGTAATAGATATGATGCAATAATGTTGGACTTGGAAGTTGACAGTAGTTCTCTGTGAAAATTTCAATTTCCAGAACTTTATACCTCATCAAAATCCCTATCTAGGGCTTTTTGTTTGGTGGTGATGTGAATATAGTGTAAGCCTGCTGAATAAATCAATAACATTACTTTGATAGTGTGTATGCATATATATATGTATATATATAATATGGTTTTCTATTATAGGCACACTTTTTAGAGGTAAAAAATTTAAACTGTTGTTTATATGGTTTTTAGAAATGATAACCTTTTTATGTAGAATAAAGTATATAGTTAGTATATCTGGCAATTATAATAATTACCAATGTATTTTGTTTTTGAAAATTTGTAGATGTCCAAACCCTCGCCCAGATTCTTTCTTCTTCATAACATGATTTGTCTCATATTTTATATTTTTGTCCCTATAGCATGTTCATATTAACTGTAGTTTCCTTCTCTTGAACACATTTTTCTTTTCCATGTGGGTTCCTTCACTTGGTTGCATTGTCATTTTCATTGATGATGTATCTGCTAATTAATTTATCTTCTTTGAATGCCTGCCCTTTTTGTTCTTGATTCTGCAGCTCAACCTTATTTTTTAATTTGAGCTCTATTTATTGGTATTTCTTTTTTCGTTTTTATTGGTTTGTGACCTTCTGTGACTGGTTTGTATATTTTATATGTTTATAATTTGTTATAAATGGTAATTAGCAGTTAAATGAATCTTTAAAATGGTTTAGAAAATAGTTTATCTTCTGTTAAATATTCTTTAGCTTTCTAAATTCATAGCAAGATGCTGTATTTTTAGAGTATGTCACTTATAGGTGCATTCTAAGAATATAAAAGAGAAGATAATATCTATTAATCTTCCAGGTTTTTTCTCTTGTTCCTTTAGTTTATTCTATGTTGATCAATTTTCCTTTTATTTTAGATAGCGAAGAGTTCCTATTGGAAGGCTTGCGGAATGAGAACCTTAGTGCTGGTGCAAGAGACCACAGAGACCACATTCTGCGGGGCTTTCAGCAAATCAAAGCCAGGTTTGTATAAAGTGGTTCCATTGTTCTTTTTAAGATGCTTGAAAACAATTTATAGTCAGTAAAATCAATTTTAATAGTGTATAAATCCACAAGATAGTACATATGAAGGGGCTTCAGAAACTTTGTGGAAAAAGTAAATTACCTTTTAATTCCATTTTTCAGGAACTTTTTGAAATCCTACGTACGTATCATAGTGCTACATATTTGGTAGAAGCTTAGATTTACTGAGTTGCAAATAGGCATAGTGTTGTTATTAAAAATAAAAATATTTTGATAAATATGTATCTTAAGATAATTTAATTTTAGTTTTGGACTTTTAAATGGGTATTTATTGAATACTTTTGTATTTATCTAAAAGGTAGTGAAAGCTCAACATTCATGTTTATTCAAATTACTAAAGAGAAGGTATTTATGGTAAGAAATAATCCATTTTTTGTAAGGATTTTTGGTTCTGATTTTATTTCCACATCGCCTTCCCTAATGAGAAATTTAAACCAAACTTATCAAGTTGATTCTTTGACCATACTTGAATGTTTTATTCTCAAATTGGTAGCATATCATGTGCATTTAGTTTTGGGTTTTGTTTCAATTAGAAGCACTGACCTAATTTGTACATTTTAGAATGTGAGCATCACTTGCTTGGGGGAGAAAGGAATACAATTCATATTTTACAAGATATTCCTGACCACCTCTTCCTTGAAATGTGGTAGCTGAGTGAAATTTAGAGATAAGTGAATATTACTTTAGCATTTTCCAGCCTAGAAGCAATGTGGTTCAGAACGTTTGAACTGAGTGCTTTTAGAAAAAGGGAAGTTTTTGCAGGGTTATGACTAGGATTTAAATTGTACGGCTGATTGTTCTTAGCATCTCTTTTAAAAACCTCATGGAAACTCCTTAGAAGCTTAGAATTTTATCCTTTGGAAAGGCACAGCCAGAATTTATTCCCTCCAGGAATGTGAGAGAACCTCACAAGATGCCCTGCTGGATCTTAATCGATCTTTCCTGCTGGCTAATTAAGCATCACTTTTACTCAGCAACTGGGGACTGTGTAATTATCAGCCTGGGTTGCCCTGAATAATTGAAACAAACAGAGTGCAAAAGATAAGGACTTTTTGCAAAAATGGGAATATTGATAATTTTTGGTAGGTTGGAAGAGTATTTAAAACACAGTTCTCCGTAATATGTTACATTATTAGTATTGAAGTTTGAACTTACTGTATACTTAATGTTTCAGTTATTAACTTGTTTTGTTGTTGTTGTTGTTAAGTGCTGTCAAGTCGATTCTGACCCATAGTAACCCTGTAGAGGGTTTCCGAGAAGCAGCTGGTGAGCTTGAACCACCAACCTTGCAATTTAAACAGCTTTGCAGTTTGGCGCATTAACCCACAGCGCCACACAAGGACTCCTATTAACTTATAGAAGTTTTAATTTTTACAAGTTTTACCTTTGCATGATAGCATTAATATAAGGATAACAGGAGGGATAAAAGTAGAATCTATTTTAGATTTTGTTGCAGTGAGAAGGATGCCTTAAATATATTTGAGTATATGGTAGTGCTATTTGGTAAAATTGCTTCTGGGGTAAGGAATGCAAAATTATTTTTACTGTATCTTTAGGAACAAATATGTGGGGGTTTTAGAAAAGTTCATGGAAAATTCCATTATCTTTTCAATTCCGTTTTTCACAAAGTTTGCATCCAATGAGGAAGTCCCTCTATATAAAATATGAGGAAGAATTCTTTTTTCCCATATTTGTACAATAGTAGTGGGACGCTCTGGTAGTGTAGTGGTTACGAATTGGGCTGCGAACTGCAAGGTGAGCAGTTCGAAACTACCAGCTGTTCCGCGGGAGAAAGATGAGGCTTTCTGCTCCTGTAAAGATTTGCAGCCTCGGAAACTCTGTACAGGGTCGCTATGAGTCGGAACAGACTTCACGGCACATAACCACCACCAGTGAGAAAAGACTAAATTTCTATCCTAAATAGACAATAAAAGGAGAATTGTGTTGACTCATTACTGTCAGCTGCATATCTCTTCTTAGTTCTCTTTTGAATGCATACACACACACACACACACACACACAAATACACTGGAGCTGTATTCGTTATGGGTTAGAGAGGGCTCCTTGTTCTCAAAGAACTTACTGTGTGGTTTGTGAGATAGACATTTAGGAAATCATCAGCAAGAGCTTCAGGAAACATCTGCATTGTTGATGGGAACTTTCTGTTCATTGATTTGTTGCAAGAAAGATGACACTTTATTTAGAATTTCATAATTATCAGATCACTAAGGAAATGAAGAGCCAGAAATTAGATACCATACAAGAAAATGGAAAAATGAGATTTTTCTTTGGCAAGCTGTTTGGAATGGCCTTGCATCCACCTAGTCAATCACTATACCACTAATGTAACCCTTCTTTTACGGACTCCTCATCTTGAATCATATCACTTCTGTATTCCCATTTATGTCTGGTCAGCATTTCGCACTTAGGCTTATGTGTATTGGTACTAATTGGTTTGAAAGTACTGAAAGCTTGCAGAATGCCAGCCACATTTACTTTGTTGTGTAGCAGTTGTATCTCCTATAAAAAGCTGGGTGTGTAAAGAAAAATTGGTAATCAAATTTGAGAGTATAGAGCAAATTGCCAAGTAACATGAAAAAAATTGTTGAAAATGATTACTTTTTTTGTTTTGTTTTTTAGAGATACTAAAGCAATAGTGTTATAGGCCTTTTGGCAGATTTGTGTAAAAGAACCTGTCCAAAACTGTAATTTGGCATGTTAGTGTTTATTTGGAAGGCAAATGAGAAATCTCTAGCAGGATAATCTGGAAAACCCACTAGATAAATAAAATAAAATATGTAAATAGGTATTTTTGATATGGTTTCTCACTTCTGTCTTTGTTGTTTCTCTGCTTTAATTCCTTTAATTTTTTCTTCATCACTGTGCTGCTTGAGAGAGAAGTAAAACTAGTACTTCCTCCTATTCTTGATAAGCTGTAAGGTTGTTGGTGGTGATGCTGTTTTTAAGTGCTGTTAAATTGGTTCGGACTAACAGTGATCCTGTATAGGGTTTCTGAGACTGTAAATCTTTGCAGGAATAGATAGCTTTATCCTTCTGCCCCCAGAGTGGCTGGTGGACTTGAACTGCTGACCTTACGATTTGTAGTCCAGTATTTATCCTAAGAGCCACTGTGTTGTAGGGGTTTAATCCTAATTTTTATGTTTGACTTAGAATTTGGTAGCATTCATCAGTTGTGAATTTGTAGTAAATTAAAGCATCTGATTCTAGTATAGTTGTTTCATTGTGCTATTTTCTACCTTTCTGTGTAGAGTGACTGACCACAGGAAATTATATTGTATCAAGAGTCATGCGTATCCTCCAAGTGCTCATCTATTAGTACAATTAGCTTAGGTATTCTTCCCAGACTTAGAAACAAAAAAGTCTTATCTATATTTGCATCCTAGCTTTTTAGCTTGAAAATGTTATCAGTGAAGGATAATGTTTTGCATGTAAGACAAAATAAAACTGATGGCAATTTTTGTGATTCCAGAAATGAAACCATGTTGCAAATATTTAATGTTCTGAGCTGTGATTTTCACTGCTGTTCTTTACATAAACTGCCTTCTTTTTTAAACCTTCTCCCTAAAAACTTTCATCTTTCACATTCCAAGTCCAAGTTTTCATTCAGCTCTTTAGAGAATGGTTAGGATGAAAGCCAGGCAAAGGCTCCTTTTGCATTATTACGGTGGTCACCGCAGGATTAGCTCCAGATGTTAGACACCTGGAATGAGGCAGATGTGAGCTACACACAGAAGCTTGATGACATTCTTATGCATTCTGAGAAACAGTAGAGCATTTCTTAAATGTTTGATTCACTGGAGGCCATCTGACAGCAAGAATACATTGAGAGTGAGGGAAGAAATGAAGAAAATAGAATATTTTTATTACTGTGGTAGGGATAAATTCTCTCTTGATGGCTCTTTTTGGAACAACTAGTCATTTATTCTCACTGTTGGAAGGGAGGGCTAGAGCCAATGGAAACAAACTTGGAGTATTGTTTCCTTCTGTGAAACTTAATAATACCAAAGGAGTTCTAAGAAGAGACAGGTAGATTTATAGCATATTGAAATGGAAAGAAATAAAGAAATGACTTTATGTTACAGGGTTATGGCATAAAACTCATAAAACCCAGGACATTTAAAGTACAGGCTAAAGTAGTATTTTGAACATGTCTCATTGTGGGTGGCTAGTGTATGGCCCTGCATGAAACATTATATACGAGTACAAGTCTCATAAAAGTAATTCAGGCTTTCTTTAGGAACTTCATGTTTTGTCTTCAGCTTAACACTGCTTTAGTTTTAAAACAGGATTTTGCTTAAGAAGGTATAATTCTGGTCTCTTTGTATTTTTGGAAGAAAGACAAGTTAATTTAATAAAACTCTTGAGACCATAAGTTTTAAAGTCGTTTACTATAAATATCAGTACCATTAACTACATAGTTTCCCCCCTAAAGTGTTGATTATTGAGCTTTAAAATTCCAAAATAAAACACAATCAAATTAAGTGGCTTATTAAGTGAACTAATGTGTGATTGTACTGTTAACCTAACAGTTGTCAGTTCAAATCCACCCAGAGGCGTTGTAGAGGAAAGTCCTAGTGATCTGCTTCAGTAAAGATTAAAACTAAGAATAATCTATGGAGTAGTTCTATTTTGTAACTTATGCAGTTTCATGAATTGGAATTAATTCAATGGCAATTGAGTTTTTTGGATTTTTTTTTTTTTTTTGGTATGGTGCTGTAGAATAGGCACTGGACTGCTAACCATAAGGCTGGCAGTTCAAACCTGCCAGCCAATCCTTGGTAATCCTATGCAGGGTCACTATGAGTCAGAACCTACTCGATGACACTTAATAACAACAATGTGTAAGTGAGCTGTGAGTATATTTGTGTTAAAAGTTTTGAGATTTGCTCACAACATCTTTCTGTGGTTTCATTTTACTA